GCTGAAGGTAACAGAAAGAACAGATAGAAAAATTATATTCAAAAAGAAAACACCTTGGAAAATAATAAGCAGTTATAAAATATCTCCCAAAGGTTCATTTTTCTCTGCTGACAAAGATTATGGCAGAACTCTCTTTTTTCTCTTAAAAAATCGTGTGATTTTGAGAATTTTATCTTTTTATGACATTTTGCTAGCAATTTGAAAACTTAATTCAGCTTTTTAAATAATCCTAAATTTTCATGGCTCTATGTTTCTACAGCAATCCACACATTAAGCAACCTGGAATTTCTCCCTGATTTTTGATCTAGAAGCTTAGCTTTGTGCACAGCTTCCATGCATTACCCTTGTCTTGACATAAGATCTACCATTGGGTACCACGGCACTGGAGAGAGATCTCCAGCCTAGGTGATCACAGAGGAACCTTGGGATGTAGCACAAGGCTCCCCAGCAAGTAATCTCGATGCCAATGTTCCGCTCCATTTGGGGTACACATATTTATTCAAGGAATAGTTACATGTTTCATTTTTTCCCTTCAGTGAAGAGAAGACAATATAATGAACTGAAAATTATATTTTTATTTGTCTGGGCCTCTGCCAACTGCTGCCTGTGAGTATTCAAATTTCATATTTGTTTTTCTTTCTTTGTCTATATCAGGTCAAATCATCCTCTGGTAGATTGTGATGTACATCTATTAATATCAGTGGAGTTATGCCAGTTTTTATCTGGTGAAGATTATCCTAAATCACTACAGTTCCCTTTATCAGTTGTAAATTTTTGACAAAGTCAGAGCATGAAAGCATGGTGTTTGAACACTATTTACTTATGTAACTATACTGGTTGTAATCTTCAGAAGTATTTAAATTAAAAAGTATTCATTTTAGGCATAGTGATCCTGCTCTGAGGCAGCGTAATGGCTTTCTGGGCTCTCTTTCACTCTACGATTCTACATGAATAAAGTTTTCACAACCAAGACATTAAAATTTTACTGAGGAATTACTGTTCCTGTTAACAATTTTGTTATCTTTGTACTACTTTGTGTCAAAAAGGCTGTATTGACAGGTGTGTCTGTAGGATGTACATAACATCAGGGCTCTCTGCTCAATACTTCAGTTACAAACACCAAAAGATATGGGAAGAATATGGTTTAAAAATGCATTTGGAACCTGACAGATTTTCTTTTTGCTGACTGTTTTCATCCCATGATATCAGAGAGATGCTTAAAGAAATCTGTCCGTCTGATTTCCAGAGAAAGTAAAAATGATAGTTTAAATTCAATATAGCACAGCAGTATAACCCCACAAATTCACCTATAATTTTGGAATAGGATTCTGGAATTAAATTCTCCAGTATGGTTATACCTGTGGTGACATAGCAAAAACTGAGTGAGGGGGGGCATACGTATTTTAGATATGTTGGTTACCTTACAAGTTCAATCCAAAGCCTGTAATAGTGAATCACTTTGTCTCAGTGATGTTTCAGCCAAGCGTAGTTGACCCTGTGGATAACCCCCTAATAGAAGTCTGAGCTAGTCTCAGCCACCCTTCAGCTCCTTCCAAGCTTTAGTAAAACCTGGTCATTTATCCTGCACATTCATTGGTCTATTAATGATTTTTCAAATTATTTTCATGAAAGGACCTGGCTATGGGACATGAACAAATATGAGACATTCCACTTCTCTTCAACAAGATAATGCTTACAGTGTTCCAAGGAACTTCCAAGGAACAACAATGCCATTGAAATAAGACACATTTTTAACAACTTTTAATTTCATAAAAGCAAATAACAACAATTTTTTTTACCAAAAATAAATAGAATCTGGCACTGACAGCATTAGTATAGTCTAGGAGCCAAAGACATGGAAGTAACTGGATGGTTATCTGCAAAATCATGGCCTCTCATTTGCATTCATAGTGTTGAAAGCAGCTACATTTTCACAAACTCTTCCTCTATTTTAAGAGTCTTTACCAAGGAAAGCTTGTGGGCAGAAATAAGTCCGGATTCCTAATATGTCAAGTGCAATGCTTGTGTGTATTCAGGGAATGAGACCAGGCTTACTTCAAAACTTTGCAATGTGTGAACAGAACCACTTATTTCACCTTAAGGAAAATACATTGCAATAAAACAGAAAACCCAGACACAAGTTCTTCAGGAGATTTGCTCTTCCAGAACTCTAGTGAAAAAATAAGTAGGCACTCATTAGGGACCACTTAGAAGACTTCATATATAATTTCAGGGTATCTGCCGAAATGTTAAAGGACTTCTCCGTTCTTACAGTGTTTCATCTGGTTTTGCTTGTTTGGGTTGGGTTTTTTTGAGAAATTAATTAGCAATTTTACCAATAGTAATGCTGCTTCAGAAAATGAGTATTTGCTTTCTTATTCAGTGAAGACTACATATTGCATACTATGGGCCACACCTCTCTTGTAACACTTCTATTTCTTACACAAACACCATACTGGTAGCCACACTAATCACATTTATGAATAGAATAACCTTCTACGCTGTATTTCCCTCTGCCCTCTCCCCTATGGTTAAAATGAAGAGTTTAATGGTAGGTTGTCTGAATTACGCAACCCTACCCCTGCTGTTAATAGAGTTTAATGGAAATGTAGCTACTTCATTTTATGATCTACAGTATAAAGTTCACAAAGAGACGGACTGTGTTAGTGTTTTGTCACTCTGCCATCCCAAACAAGAGGTCCACCTTTAGAAACTGTGGTTTAATAGAACCAATATTTTCTTTCCTAAAACTGTGATTATATCTGTGGTATGAAGGAAAGTTCAAGTAAGGGAAGGCTGGCTGAAAATAACTTGTACGAATGAAATATTTTACAGTTTTAGGACAAGACCTAGCAGTTAAGTGCAGCACTTAGCAGAATTAAAAACTAAGGATTAGGGTTAGCCTCCTGGGCTCCATATATAATGTGGGAAAGAGATAGGTGTCCTAAAAAATCTATAGTGAAAAGGTGACCTGAAATATCTACATGCTGAGCAGGAAATCCTCTAAATTTAACTTGTAGGAAATACAAGGAAAGGAGGACAGAACGGCAGTCATCTTGAACCTTTCAGTTCTCCAAGGTTGATGTGCCAGAATCAGGGCTGGAGGCTCATATGGAGGCCCACCTTTACACTTAAGGATACAGATATGGCAATCTTCTCAAAAGGATAGTGTATCTTTTTCTTTTTTTTCTTTTTTTCCCCTTCAATTAAAGGATCATGACACAACTTTCTATCAAACATACATGCCGGGGTGCTGTTGCCATGTTCAGTGGTAAGACTACTTTCCAAGGGACTTCCTACCTGGAGATTATTACTACAGCGTCACCTGAACACAGAGAAGCTTCAGCCATACCATACTTTGATCAGAAGACACTGACGCTACTTAGGAGTTTCACTGAATCTCTCCTTAACTATCGGCTCCTGAATGCAAGAAAAATGTATAACAGCAGTTTTCATCCACAAGTATTTTCTTCTTCCCCTCACTTGCTTCCGTAAGATCCAAAAGATCTGCTTAAGCACACATAACTCTCTTACTGATCAACTCGCTTGTTTCACTGACTTTGCACTCAGGACTATTAGTCTTGCTCTGTCTCCTCCAATGTTTTGCTGGGGGGTCTGCGCAAGTATCATTGTACCTCCTACATCCAGAGAAGTCCAGACCCATCCCTCAGCACACCTTCCAATACCTCAGAAGAAACACTATACAATCAGCAAAACTGACTTGGCTGGCTGCAGAGGAAGCATCTAGGTTCCTCCTAAAACAGTTCATGACATAGAAGAGATTTTATAAGACTGTGACAAGTATTTCTGACTGACCTTCGAAAAAAAACCAGAGCTACGAGAATTGCTATTAGTTGTTCCAATGGCTCAGGCAATTATAGCCTGTCATCAGCAGTCTACCTACACTTGCACAACTATGGCTCCTGCTTGAACTTTACATCCATAATAAGTAGCTGCCATGATGGAAGTCTTTAAATCTCTGCTGCATTAGGCTCACTGAAGATGTGGTTTTGTTCGAATGCAAGCAAATACCATTTTGTCACAGAGACTGAGGAATTTAGTACAAGCATTTATACCAACTTCTGCTCTGAATGCATAGAATATTTCCATATAAAAGCACTGCTGAAACATTCCCACATTTGCATTGTTCATTCATGTTTAGGATTTTGCACCAAATGCCAAAGGAAATTCAAGTAATAGAAGTAATGTGGCACTTAGTAGTAATGGCAAGTGCTAATGGTAGTTATGTTTGGATAGATGTTCAAGTTGTCATTGGCATGTAAAAATTCTCATGCAATACAGCAGATCTTTCATCAGCTAACAAATGAATTGGATATCATTTCTTGGTTTATAAACTATAAGGAAGGTAGGTTGATAACAAATCTTACAAAAAGGAAACATCATTATTTCCAAGAAGACTAGAAAAAACAGAAGGGAAAATATTGAAATCTACAAGACAAGGATAGCTATCTCACAAAGGATAGGTATCTTGATTTCATATCATTAGAAAAAAAAAAAACAACCAAAAAACCAAAACAAACCAAAAACCTCACTTTGATTGTGGTTGAAAAACTATCCTGCACCTTTGACCATGACAGGCATTAAAAGCACTGACTGCATTTTTGCTAATATTTAGTCCAGGGTTTCCCCATGGAAACAGGCAATTTATAATCAGGTTTAAGTTTACCTTAGAGTTAAAGTGGACTGCAGAATGGAGTTAAGCCTTTTTGTTTACATTTGGAGGGCTCCAGGTACATAACATGAATGGTTACATCTGCCACAATGTTAGAAATTAAAATGGATTAAAAACCACTTAGTTGGCTATAGCAATCCTGTGTTCAATTATTTCAGAAGAATCATATAACGAGGTAAGAATTCAGTCTCGTATGTTGTTATCTGCTCTGTTGCACCAAGAGAAAGGATTCAGTTTCTGGAAACCTGGGTTCACTGGCCACAAAAATAAGATCATGCATGAGGGAATCTCAAGTAGGCTCACATACCTTGCTCAGCTTTCTGCATGTGAGACAGGAAAAAATTGGTTTTGGTGGCATGCTGTGGAGTCACATCCCTGACACATTTCAAATTCACACAATGGCTTGCTATCATTCTCTGCAGGTGATCATTGTTCACTTGAGGGACAATGACCTTTGCAAAGAAATACCCAATCATTAAGCTAAAGGTCATCTGCCAGATCTCAACACTTTCTCCTGCTGTTTTCTTAATCCGGTTGGAGGTGTGTCCAGAAGGAATCTTCTGGCAAGCAAATATCAATTAGGTATAGAAGAAGTGAAACAGAAAATGAGTAAATACATTAAAAGAAAGGGAAAGATGTGTTCCTGTTCTAAGGACTAAATGCATTTCTAAGGATCTGTTTAGAGAGGATGGAGTAAAGCTGTCTGAAAAAAATGGTTAGATATCTTTTTTTAGAGATGACAAGCAATGGATGAGCTCCTTGGTTAGACATCAGAGTGAAAGTGGATGTCTGAACTGGTTGCTCTTTTTTCAAGAAATAGCAACTTGCACATCATCCTCAAACATTTCATCCTGACTCCTTCATTCTGGTAAAGGAGGATAGTTTGAGATCTCTGCTTTCTGACATCATTCTAGTGACTTTTGCTTTCTAAGGGGCAAAAAAAATCTGGGTTAATGAGGAATAAGGAAAACAAGTTAATGAAGTCTTAAAATAATTGAATCATAGAATCACAGAATAGTTTGAGTTGGAAGGGACCCTCCAACCTAAGGATCATCTAGTCCAACCCCCCTGCCATAGGCAAGGACATCTTTTGCTGGATCGGGTTGCTTAAAGACATGTCCAACTTGACCTTGAACACTTCCAGTGATGGGGCATCCACAACTTCTCTGGGCAATCTGTTCCAGTGTCTCACCATGCTCATCATAAAAATAAAAAAAATTTCTTCTTTACATCCCATCTAAATTGACTCTCAGTTTAACTAACAGTTGTCCCTTGTCCTGTCACTACAGGCCCTGGAAAAAGGTCTTTCTCTGTCTTTCTGATAAGCTCCCTTTATATATTGAATGGCTGCGAGAAGGTGTCCCTGGAGCATTCTCTTCTCCAGGTTGAACACCACCAGCTCTCTTAGCCTTTCTTTGTAGGAGAGGTGTTCCAGCCCTCGGACCATTTTTTGTCGCCCTCCTCTTGGACCCACTACAACAGGTCCATGTCTGTCTTGAACTGGGGACCACAGAGTTGGATGCAGTACTCCAGGTGGGGTCTCATGAGAATGGAGTAGAGGGGGAGAATCACCTCCCTCGACCTGCTGGCCATGCTTCCTTTTATGAAGCCCAGGATACAATTGACTTTTTGGGCTGCAAGCACACACTGCCAGCTCACATCCAATTTTTCATCCACCAGGATCCCCAAGTCCTTCTCTGCAGGACTGCTCTCAGTCCATTCCTCCCCCTGTCTGTACTGATATTGGGGATTGCCCTGACCCAGGTGCAGGACCTTGCACTTGGCCTTGTTGGACTTCATAAGGTTCACAGGGACCCACTCCTCAAGCCCATCAGGGTCCCGCTGGATGGCATCCTGTCCCTCAGGCATGTCAAACACACCACTCGGCTTACTGTCAGCTGCAAACTTGCTGAGGGGAACTTCAATCTCACTGTCTATGTTGTTGATGAAAATATTAAACAGCACTGGTCCCAGTACAGACTCTTGAGGGACATGACTCACTTGGTTTCCACTTGGACATTGAGCCATTGACTATAAGACTTTGGATGTGGCCATCCAGAAAATTTCTTATCCATCTAACTGTCCATTGATCAAATGTGTGTCTCTCCAATTAAGAAGTAAGAATGTTGTGGGGGACCATATCAAGGGCCTTAGAGAATTCCAGGTAGATATATCAGTAGCTCTTTCCTTGTCCACTGATGCAGTCACTCCATCACAGAAGGCCACTGGATTAGTCTGGCATGATTGCCCTTGGTGAAGCCATGTTGGCTGTCTCTAATCACCTCCCTGTCTTCCACATGCTTCATCATCACTTCCAGAAGGACCTATTCCTTATCTTACTGGGCACTGAGGTGAGGCTGATTGGTCAAGAGCTCCCTGGCTCCTCCTTTTTACCCTTTTTAAAAATGTATGTGATATTCCCTTTTCTCTAGTCACTGGGGACTTCACCTGGCTGCGATGACTTTTTCAAATATGATGGATGGTGGTGTAGCAACTATGTCTGCCAATTTCCTCAGGACCCTGGGATTCATTTTGTTGAGTCTCATAGACTTGTATATGTTCAGGTTCCTCAGGTGGTCTTGAACCTGGTCTCTTAAGATGGGCAGGAATTTGTTCACTCAGTCCTCGCCTTGATCTTCAGGGACTTGAAAGATGTAGGAAAAATAATTGCCAGTGAATAAATGAGACAAAGAAAAATTAAGTAACTCAGCCTTCTCCATGTCAGTTGTCACTTTTCTCCTGTCTTGTTTTTCAGGGAGGTACATTATTTTTTTAATTTTCCTTTCTGACCAGTGTGCCTATAGTAGCCCTTCTTATCATCCTTCACATTTCCTGACAAATATCTTTCCTGATCCCACCTGTACACATCTGTGCACTGTCCCTGCATTCTTCCCAGGATGTATGTCCCAGGTTCCACTGCCCATGCATTTCCTTCTTACACTTTACTTTGACAAGGAGGCCCTCAGTCAGCCATGCTGGTCTACTGCCTTCCTTGCCTGATTTCTTACACATGGGAATCGAAAACTCTTGTGCTCTGAGGAAAACATCAGGTGCTAGCTATGTTCTGCTCCTGTACCCCTGAGGGCAATTTCCCAGGGGATCCCCTCCACTAATTCCTTGAACAATTGAAAGTTCACTCTCCTAAAATTCAGGGTCTTATTGACTGATAGTTCAATAAAGGTGCAATACTATGGTGAGTTTGGCAGATTATCTATACCCACAGTTGGATATCTTTTTTAGTCTTAGAGAAAGGCTTTACCAGATTCTGTAGAACATGGTAAAAATGGGGGGGAAATGCCTTATCTTCTTTACACTGCTCAGTTAGTTAGTATTCAAATACTCAGTAATAAACCTAAAGTACTAAGTAAATATTAAACAAAAGCATTTCATTTATTCACTGTCTCTCTTACTGGTGTCGGAACTTCATTCTTTTTCATTAATTTTGAACAGATGATTGATTTTACTGAGTGAAGCAAAGCTAGAGCTGGCATCTGTCCCATGTCTCACTGCTTGTTGTGGCACATACGCTCTTGGTCATGTTATGTGTTTGTGGCTGAATAATCTCCCCCAGTGTTCATTCTAAGGCTACATCCTTGTCCAGAATATTAATTTGTGTGATATTTTGATTAAATTTGTTATATTTTGATATTTCCTTGTAAGGAACCCACGATGTGTTAGCCTATGACAAATCCAGCTATCTGGATTTTAAAAAGGTGTGGATGCATGACTCGACCCATAAAAGAGTGTCTGGTACAACACTGGCAAATTTACCCCTAGATAAATCATGGCTAAATGTTGCCACTTTTTCAACTGCTTATTTTTCAGCGTTTGTCTCCCACACTTTAAAACATAAATCTGCTTATTTATACACAGCTGCCACAGCACGATTTGCTCTGGCTTCAAGAATTGCCTCTCTGTTCATGTGTTCCTGGCCACACTTACCTTTAAAAACCAGTGTTAGCATAGAATAAATGACCTCTAAAAGTTAAACATTCATTGTTTGTTCAGCAGACTTTGCTAGCGTATTTTGTCTTGTTCTAGGCAAACAATCATTTATATGTATAGCCACATAGGGATGTATATGCAAAGGACAATTTGGCATCACTACTTTTCTCCTTTTACCTGTTTTCATCTCCTCTGTCTACAGCTATTCTTCTCTCAAGGTTTGTAACAAAACCCCCACCTGATGTCCTTGCTTTTCAGTGTGCCTGTGGTTAGTTTTCTGAAATCTGGGACTATTTTGCAGTTTTATCTTGAAACCAAGTAATGGAAGTACTTCTTAAATACTTAGAATGTAGCAGCAGCACAACCCTCCAATAAGCAGAAAGAACTACTGCTAGACTTTCTCAAAACATTTTGAAGTTTACTGTTACTCCTCTTTCTGTACCAAGTATTCTTGTGTTACGAAAAATTAACCTTTTAGAGTGATGGTATCCCATTAGAGACCATATCTGCAGCTTAGTCATCAGGTCTCTCAGTAATTATGGCAGTATTTAGTGGTGAGTTGGGATCTACCACCAGTCCCTGCTGAATGCAATTAAGTGCAAACAATTAATGTCAAACCACTGTTTTCCTACAACAAATTACTGGGAGACCATTTAAAGATGGAGTTTAAGGTCTAGTTCAAATCTACTTAACTTTTATTGCAAGTCTCCTTTCATTATTACCATAGGCATCTGACAATTTTTTTCACATTAAAAAAGAAAAAAATGGTAAGTATATGAAAAAAACTCAACCTTTCAGCGAGACCTATGTAGAGATCCCAGAGGCAAAGGGGCAAGAGTAAGGTTATTTAAAGATACGCAAAAAAACTCAGGAGAAATGTAGATAATTTTCCAAGGATGGTTATTTGAGTTGGCACATTCAGATTAATGACAACTAACTGAATTACCTGCACTGGGGCACCAGTAATCACTCGTACATATATTCAGGCATGTCATGTTTCTCTTACACTTTAAGATCCAAAGGCTAGTGTATATGTAGGATAGCAACACACATATAGATGAGACAGACAGAACAATAAACTTTTTCTATTCTGAACATATGTCTTATTAGAAACCATTCTCAGTGGTTTGTAAAATACGGCATCACTCCAGGTAATACAGTGCTATGAATAATTTGCCTTCAAAACATTAATATGATTTATTGTTTTAGAAGTATTGGACTGGCAGAGCTAGGGATGAAAATCTCCTGTTCACAGGAAAAGCATTATATAAGCAGCAGTGCCCCAAAAAGCTTACCTCATCTGCAGTCTGCAAAGACCATTTATTGCACACAGGAGTTAAAAGGTTTGCTAAGGGTGCTAGCTGAGGTAACTGGATTTGTGGCATATTTCCGTTTGCCTGGGTAAAATTAAGCCTCCAGTGTAAAGGTTTTTTTTTTTTGTTTTTGTAGTATTTTTGCATTATATTGCGGTATAAAAAGTACATTAACTATAGCTGTGTTACACATCTATAGAATGTATTTCCAGTTCACTGGGACTCTTTTTTTAAATTGGAATTTATCTTGGTGAGTGTTTGAAAAAAATCTTGGAAATAACGATGAATAAGACTACAGCCTGAAGGGGATCACGGGCTGATTTCTATCCTCAAAAGAGCTCTTCAAAGACTTTCATCCTTTATGCTGCCAGCATGCTGCTCCATTTGCAAAGTAAAATCTCCATGCAGCTCTCTACTGTCTGATGCAGTCTGTGCTTTTATACATGCTAGACAACAAAGGGAAGGGTAGCATTTTGTTTTGCCTAAAAAAGGGGGAAAAGGAAGTAAGTGTTTGTGGCAAAAATAGAATAAATGGTGCTCAAAGCAAAGAGCTCAAAGCCTGAATCAATCAATGTATCTATCTAAAATACTTCATCAAGATATATGCTACTGACCTTTATGATTTAATATTTATTACAGCCGTTTGCCAGTAACAATATTACTGTGTTATGGAAGTATAGGCAAGAGGACTGCATGACACAAAAGCTTCTTGGACACATTCAAACAATACTTTCTCACGTACCTATAAAGGCAGGTGGCGACTGCCTGCATGGCTCAGACATGGATAATGAGAATCTTCAGGATATGTTTGGCACAATGCAAGAGCTCAGGACATTAAATTTAAGTTTATTCCTGCATACAAGGAAGCCCAAGTACATTATCATGAGGCTGTAACCACAGACCAAACAAATCTTTTAATATAACTTTCACAAAGGTCTACATTTAGATGCTTTAGCATGTATCTAATTTCCAAATGCTTTTAAGTCCTTGCTGAATTGGGACCTAATGCAGAAGTCTGTAAAGAGAGGATCTGCAAGCTAAAGAAAACCCCAAACTGTTTTGTTTCCCACAAAACATCATAAGTGATCTTTTATGAAAAAAGAACATTAAGAATACTTGGTTTTTAATCAGAAAGTCATTAAAGTAAACGTAGATACCCAATCATGCAAGACGAGAAATTCCTTTTCAGCTCAGTGAAGTCAGTCTTACAGGAAGCTTAGCACTTCACACTAGGAGGCCACAGCATAAGTTTAAAAGTTATTTATTTTTCTATGCTAGGAAATTTCATATTCAAAGAAAGGGGCACTGTAAGTCTAGTCTTGGATTTCAGAAGGCGGCAAAAGTTAAACGCCACATTTTAATTTACTCATTTTTATTGCCTTTGTGAAGCAATACAAAATCACTTGGCACAGAGATCACTAGGTGGGTAATACAAGTGAAATTAAAGTCAAAAAGCATTCAAACAACACTCAAAGTAATGAAAGCAGTATGAGCAAATGGAGGTAAATACAGTAGAGTTATTTAGAGAGCTATTAAACGTGAAGTCTAAGGTAGATTGCCTTATGTTTACTTATGTTACCAATAAGGTTTATTGCCTTATTGATGAAAAACAGAAGACTTGGCAGATTCTACTCCAATTAATGACTTGAATACAAAAGTATTTACAAACACCTATGTTTTTAGTGTCTTTTCTCTAATTGTGAAGAAAAACCTTCTAAAAACCAGAAACAAAACTTTAAAGAAGATCCTTAGTAGGCCCCAAGTTTGCTC